TATATATATATATATATATATATATATATATATATATATATATATATAAATTGAATCGAGTTATCTTGCTTTCCAGTTAATCTGGATTAAAAAAAAGCTTTTCAACAGATCCTTTAGGAAAACATTGCAATTAGCACGTTGTTGAAAAACGTCAATGCATAAAATTTGATCTAAAGTGTGATGCTCTCAAACTTTGATGGCAGGTGCAAAAAAACAAAAAAACAAATGTGAGAATAATAAATTAAAACAATAAGCACATCTGTAAGCAGAAGCGATGCAGAATTGAAACTAAGGGAAAGGTTAGTGATTTGCCTTCACTGGACCCCAATCCACCTTCACTATTAACAACGGGAAATAACGTTCCAGAAAGGCTGACAAACGTCTGGAGTCTGCCTTTATATTTAGCTTATAGTGTGTGTGTTTATATGTGTGCTCCTAAAGAGTCATGACTATAAATAGAGCTGGCATTAGGGTGTGGGCCTGGAAAAACAAAACACTGACGTTGAAGCGCTGCTGGGCTGACGTCGTGTGGACCCGGAGCAGCCGCAGCACTCTGTTATTAGTGTGCAAGTGTGGGTGTGTGTGTTATTGAAGCCTTTTGATGGGGGCGCACCTCCGCAGACAGGTGGGATTGAATTACTTTGACTTGTTTGCTAGGCTAGGGGCCCAGTTGTGTTCATTAACTCAGACCAGAACCTTCTGCATGAGAACGCAGCAGTGTGAATAATGTGTAAATAGAAAGTCAGAGTGAATTGAAGCTGTTTTGGTGCAGCTAGAGTGCCAAGATAAAGAGTCCAATATTTAGTCTGTTTGGTAGACTGGCCTCAAAGCACTCCTCTGCTGGAAGATTAGTCTGAACAGATTGTTTATCAGATCTTCATAACAAAAGCAGGTGTTCAACAGAACTCTTGGGTTTTTAAGAGACCATCTGGCTCATTTAGTTTAATGTACCATGGATGAAACTGACTGCTTTGTCTTTGTTTTTTTGGTCTAAGAAACAAACCAGTGATATGGCTTTAAGAGGATCTCTAGCCTCAGAGATAGATTCACATTAACCATGTGATGTTTAATTCTCATATTGCACAGAAGCTGCATCTAACAGACTGGCGTCTCTTGTTTCTACTAAATGCATTGATATTTTGAAAAGCTTGGTCAACATAGCTTAAAATACAGATATTAGAGAGAAGATGCCGCATTGGCTTCTTTTTTCATTAGAAACAAAAGAAGAAAAAAGAAACAAAAGGCAATAATGCTCTCTAGATGAAAAATAAGCATTATTAAGATTTGTTTCCTCTTAAGTGTTGAATATATTTATTAATTCAGAGTACTTTTATTTTTTTATTTGACTTAATACATGCACAAGCTCTTCAAGTACAGTACTGTATGTTAAACCAGAGTGTTTCCAGTCAGTCCTCAAGGGGGTGCTGTTGTGCATGTTTTAGATTTCACTAGCATTAAGTGCATCTGAAACAAATGAACTAGTTACTAACATATGGAGGACTAATCCTGCCATAATTAAAGAGAAGAAAAGACACTTCTAAAATATAGGAGTCAGAGAGCCCTGATTTATGGTGTTATACACAAAGAGGCAAAGATGAAATTATATTCTGCATCTCTAAGAAGTCTAAAGGAGATGTGGGGTATGGTGCTAACATCTGTATGAAAATCAAAACATTAAGTCAAAGGTCACATTTTCTTTGGAGATATAAAACATCCCATTAATAATATCAAGGCATTGATTGTGGAAATATAAATACTGTAGCGTTAAAATTCATCTTCCAAACTGCCCTTTGAACAACGTCTAGACTTACAATCAGTCTGTGTTTTCACTCCAGATCACATTACATGTAAATCAAGCTCGTTTCCAAAACGCTGTCAAAAATATTTCCATCGTCTCCAGGAAACATTTTTCAAATCTTTATGTAAGAAAAAAAGCTTTGCGTCAATTGAATTTTTACATCTTTCTAGAAATGGACTACTTGTTTTTTTTTTTTTTTATAGTTTTTTTGCGTAAACTCTCCTTTTACAATCCATATTTATGTTTGTAACACACAGTAGATCAACTCCCAGTTGTTTGGGATAAAGTTTCCCAGGAGGATTTTTTTATAGCTGCATTTCCATTGTCTAAGGAAGGGTTTACTTTAGCTACAGAATTAGAGAGTCCAGTAAAGAGTAAAGGAATTCAGAGTTCAAATGTAGAAACAAATGTGTATGAAGCTGTTTGCACAAAGGAGGAGAAGGAAAAAACAAATCTGCAAAAATAAAACAAGATTCTGCAAAAAAAAATTCTGAGCAAAATATTATATTATATAAGTGCTATGAAACTACAAAGAAATTAAAGCTCCAAAATGGAGAAACATATCTGAGATCATGAATGCTGCAAGTTTAATAAGTTTAACTTTAAACAAAGAACAAATATTCTTTACAATATATCATCATATTTACATTACACCCTCAAATAAAAAGGAAAGGGAATAAAAAAGGTGAGCTTGCTGGGGGGAAAAAAAAGGAATAAAGGAAAACAATTCAACAAGCTCTGTTAAACCTTTTGTTTTTATTTATGAGTTATTTAATGTTTTATTTCCATGTTAACTTTTCAGGCTTGACGGCTTTTATGAAATAGGTGCACATATGGTTTGAACTACAGTCATGGGAAAAAGGGAAAACTTTACAACTGTTTGTACAGTCATGAAAAAAAATGGCAGCCATGTTCAGCTAATGATCTGCAAAACCATCTGCAGCTAGAATCTCAGCTAGAGCAATAGTTAAGGTAGATTGCTCCTTTGAAGAATGGGAAGGGCTTTTGTTAATGTTAACCTTAGATAACGTATGTTTCCTCTAATTTTCATGTGTCTGGGGAAAGACACAAGCTCCCTGAGTAGCTTAAGGATTACAGTGAGAAATATTAGATGTACCAATACTAAAGTTTTTAGAAAGCAAGTTACATTCAATTCCATTTTTCATTATGCTCATCCTGGCTGGGGTCACTGGGGCCTATCTCCAGCTGTCAATGGGCAAGAGGCAGGGTACACCTTGGACAGGTCACCAGTCCATCACAGGGCAACACAGAGACAAACAACCATTCACTCACACCTAAGGAGAATTTAGAGAAGCCATTTAACCTAACAGTCATGATTTTGGACTGTGGAGTACCTGGAGAGAACTCATGCATGCACAGGGAGAACATGCAAACTCCATGCAGAAAGACCCCGAGTCGGGTATCGTACCCAGAACATTCTTGAACATTCTTGCTCCAAAGCAAGATTGCTACCCTCTGCTCCACTGTGCAGCCTAGCAAGTTACATGGCTTGGTAAAAGAATAAAAGATTACAAAAGCAATCTCCATTTGTTTATTTTTAATCTAAGTAATTATTATTCTCAACTTAAAATAAAATAAATAAAATAAATAAATAAAACTTGGTCATGAGATGGGTAGCATCTTATAGGAAAGAGTCCTGCTTTGGCCAGGTTTCTGCTCTGGAAGAAATTAGACTTTATATCTTTTAGACATAACTTTTTGTTCTTATTAAAACATTGACATTTTGCACAATGAAAGTGTGCTGAAGCTTGTGATACAGCATAAACTCCGGCAACTGTTTATCTCTCCCTGTAACAATTTAATTACACAGCTTTCTACTAATAAAAATCATAAAATATTATAAGCATTACACGATTATATCTATTAATAAAAAACAACAATAAATGTCACTTGAACATGACCAAATTTGACTTAATTTAATAAAATTTTCACATCTGTCCTTCTCACCTCTCCAATAATTGTGCAAATATGCCACTTTAACAACTTTCTGAATGCTGTTTAGATACGATTCATTAACTAAATCCCCTTTGAAAATCGGCACTTGATGTTTGAAATGTAGCATAGAAATCTACAAACTGTGAGAACTCCTTTAGCTTCTCACATCTGCAGTAGAAGCCATTCAAACCGGCCCTTCCCAGTCAAACTCCAGCCGAATGGCAGCCAACTTCCCTGCAGCTCCCAGAAAAATCTCCTTCAATTTCCAGCCACTGGCCTTCTCCTGGGCGTGTATATTTTTTTTACTCTGACTCCACCCTTTCACTGAATTACAGGGTCTGACCAGGAGAAGGTGCTTCTCTTTAGATCTTAATGTCCACAAATTATGACATAAAGAATATTTTAGCACAAAGATTGATGTTTAAAAAGGAATTGTAGAGGACCAGCCAAGGACCTATCAAGGAAAGTGGGGAAATGTTGAATGGCTACTCTAACTGCTACAGCCACCATAAATGGCAATATACTGATTGACCCCTGTTTATGTTTTTGCTTCATCATGTACCTGAATTTAGCAGAGAGAGAAAGAAATTGCACGTAGCATCTCACTGAGCAGATGAGTCTTAAACTGTGTGCATGTTGGATAGTAGGGCTGTTATAGTTATTTTATAGTGACTGGGGAGCTGTCTGGGGGTTACACTGCTTTTCGTGACTGCTAGAGACAAGCAACAGCCACTAACCATGATCCTCTAGGGATAAGTGATGAGGACAATGGTTGGATCCTAAAGGATCCAAATAAAGTGAATATTGAACTAAAGTGATAAATCCAAGTATCACTTTACTTGGATTTATCACTTTAGTTGGATATTCACTTTATTTGGATTTAGTTTTTACATATGCATAGATGTACATACATATATATATATATATATATACAGAAGAGCTGCTATATGTGTATATATTTTATCTCTTTTTAATTCTTCTTCTTATTTTTTTAATCTTTATTATATTGTGTAGTTGGATGTGGGTATATATTACATAAAACTGTAACTGGAGCGTGTAACAAAAGTAATTTCCCTCTGGGATTATTAAAGTATTTCTGATTCTGATAGTCCTCATAAATCAATACCTGCAGGAGGGCATCATTATTCTTTATCATCCATGGCTTTGAAAATTTAAATCTTATTTTTTAGCTTTTGTTGTGACAAAAAGGGGCATTTCCTTTTCTTTTCAACATGTCAATGATCTTCTAAAACTTTTTAATTTGCATTTTTTTAACATATCCTCATTGATATCAATCCAAATGCAATAAAATTGACTTGTACACCACCTTCCTCCCACAGTCCAAAACCTTGTTAAAGTTTAAACTTTGTCAGAGGCTTTTCACCATCTTACCTTGCAACAGAAATGGAATAATGCAAACAGCAATGTCAAATAAAGATTAAGTTAGGCTAAAAATACAAAAAGGATTGGGTGTGTTTCCATAATTATACAAATGAAATGTGAAAAATGGATGGAATGAGGACACATTCCCACCAAATAACCTTTTTCATTGCAATAACACCTGCTTCTCTCCGCCGTCTCCGTCTGTTCTAACATTAATGACATTAGCAGGCACAATAACCACTTCATCAGTTTTATTCTTTCTGTCTTTCTCTTGAACACAGACACCAATGTCCACTTTCTCCATCCTTTATTCCAGACACCAATGTCCACTTTCTCCATCCTTTATTCCCAGACAGAAAGCCCCCACCTCATTCCAATTTTCCAATTAGTCACTGGGAAAAATCTTGTTTGACCCTAATCAGTGGAGACGGTCAGCGGAGGAGGGTAGAACAGAGTAAAGCATACAAAAAGCAGATGAGCGGACATACCTGAGTTATCTGAAAACTCTGGTAACTCCCACACCACAGCTGCCTCTGTGTTTGTAGCCTGGACTGCTGGGGGGGACCTACACCTGTCAATGAATGGAGGTTCCGTATCTGAAAATACAAATGGAACATATTTTTATCTGAACCCACAATCATCACAGAAACAAAAAAAACATTTGGTTTATTTTGATGAGTTTCCTAAAAATGTGACAAAGTGAAGCAGATTTACAGTATTGATAACAGAACGCTGCACAGTGGTCTGACTTTTTTAAGTCAGAGGGCACCGGTGGAACACATGTCTCTAATAAAAACCCACAGCGTTCCACAGCCATAACAACACATGGAAATGTTCATGGCTACCATGCTTGAGGTTTCTCCCCCCGACTGCAGTGATTACTGACTGGGGCTGACATGAGACGCCCTCGTTTTTCATTCCCTACAGAAACGAGCTCTGGCACCTGTTAGACCAGATAACTAGGGAACATCTCAATGAAACCCCATTTTTAACCTAAGAATAATACAAAAAAAAACATGTTTAAGTGTCTTGAGTTAGAGTGGAAAGGAAAAGCTGCAATTCTGATTTATGACCTTAAAAACCAGTGATTCCATAAACTAACTAAACCAAAAAGAAAACATTTATTGTAGATTTTCAGAAACACAAGAGCAAGAAGAAGACTAATTTAACTGCATAAAAGATTTTATTTTTCCACAAATTGTGGATGTCTTGCTTATATCCCACCCCCTCCTTGCAGTTAAATACCCCAGTAAAGTTACCACAGAGGCCACACAAAAAGCTCACCAATCACAGAGACTGTAAAAGAGCAGTTGGCCTGGTTCCCAGAGCGGTCGGTTGCAATGTAGGTGATGGTTTCCCTGCCAATGGGCAATAGTTGAGGCGGGTTGTACACCGGTTTCACCTGCACCATCACCTGCAGATGGAAGGGACAGGAAAATAAGAATTAACAAGTTTTAAAATAGCTTTTTCTTGTCTTATAGATAATATCTTTCAGTCTGTAACCTCTTCTTGAGAGTTGTCGGCAGCTGTTGGAACGTTCCAGCTGACGTTAGCGGTGCCACGCCGTTCGTCCGTCTCTGCAACAATATCTGCAGGACATTGGAGCTGTGGCACCTCTGTATCTGTGGACACAAAGAACAGAGAAAAAAAACAGATAAGACATTTCATCAGATTAAATCTGGCTTGACATTAAAGCCAGATGTTACATGACTTTTATCCAATTACACCAATTACATCCCAGTAATCTTACTCTGCTCTCTAATTCACAGAGGGAGTCGCTACATGAAGTCATTAACCTCTTATCTCTTGAAGTCCAACACATCATACATTCATTATTGATCATTATCCAATAAAAGATAAAGAGAAGAACCATCATTTCAACAAGACCTATCGTCAAAATAATAAGCAGGGTCCTAAATCATCGAGGGTTTCGAAATCCACTGTCTTAAACCCTTGCAGACCAGTGAATCACCGGAGACTGAAAATCCTTCATGCACATGAAAAATATTAGGTTACTGATGTTGAACTGAACATGTTTAAAGGTCAAAAGCATCATTCTTAGAGATTTCAGGATAAGCATAACACAGTGATGTTTTACTTGGGTGATAAGGTTGTCTTTTGCTGAAAAAGTTGTAGTTTGATAAAGTTTCAAAGGAAAGCTCATGCTTAAGGAGATGCAAACTTCAGGATTGTTTAGTTCGTTCACAGAAACCTGTCTAAGGAAAGGTGAATATGAGCACGAAGCTATCAAAATCTAGTTACACCTACCAGCCATAGAACCTCCAGCATAAAAAGTCTTGTATTCTTCTTTATAGCGTAAATATAAATGATATGTTTTAACCTTCAGCCTACGCTCAAAGTAATGAGAAACAAGCTCAGTACAATTAAGTTCATGCCTCCAGTAAGCAGTTAAGCTTCAAAGAGTTCAATCTCCCATCTGAAAGGGGCCATGCCTCTGGGGTTATGTAAGAGAACTGTTTTCATCTGGACCTGATGATCCATTCACTTCAGCATTTATATATGCCTTAGACCAACGCACTCAGATCCAATCTGTTTTACTTATCTTGACAACAAGGGAAGCATCTTTCAGATATCATCATCTGGATAGAAAAAGAAAAAGCATAAAAACCCAGAAAGTTCCTAGAAATTCTTGCCTTCTGCAGCTCCTCATGATAAGGTAAACTTTACAGCCCCCTCATTAGTCTTCAGAAGAATTTAGTTTTTTATGTTTGATTTTATACTTGAGGCTAAAAGGATGAAAAAAAAAAAAATAATAATAAAAAGTCCTGCCAAACTTTCCAAAACACCTTGGAATGACTCATCCCTGTTTTTCAATTCCCTGTTAGAATTACCTTTCCATTTGTTTTCATTTTATGGCACTTCTTTTTCTGTTTAATAACAGCTGTTCCCCCGTAAGCCAAGTGGTAGAAGTGGATTGAGGACATCTAGGGGGGAAATAAAAAAAAAATGTTCTGCAGCACCTGTTTCACCTGCAAGGCATGTGAAGCGCTACAGTGCATTATAATAAACTCCAGAGAGTCGTTTGGAGCCAAGAGGGGTGACATGACAGCTTGAACACGGTATAGTTTGAGTTTAAGACATTGAGGGTTGCTTATAAAAGGAGTCGATGTAGCTTACAAAGCAGGGAGAAATGAAGAAAACAGGAACGGAAAATGAACACTGTCCAAATGCCCTCTTGATTTTCATTTACAGCCTCTACTTTTTCAGCTTATTCTGTTTATTTCTTTTGTTTCTTGCTCGATAACTATTTCGGAAAGTGTCGGGGAGGTTTATTTTCTCTTTAGGGCTTTATGCAAAGCCAATAACCTTCTCCTCTGACTCCATAATAGGAGATTTCCTCAGTTGTAAAGTCTTGCTTTTTCCCAGATGAGACCCAAAGCGAGGCCTGAGGAAATGATCCCCCATTGATTTCCTGTGTGAGTCGTGCAGTCGTATTTGTTTAGGTTTTTTCCTAACTGTGGAAGCCTTGCTCTGCTATACGGTTGATCTGGTGATGGCCTGGATGTTGATTCATCTTTAGCACACCACCCCCTCTGGTAAGTTTTAAGGTTAGGCTCAAACTTATCACTAATTGATGGATTAAACTACTTGCCTTCTGCACTTTTGACTGACAGGAATCTGAGCCTTTTTTAAAACATTTTTGTTGTTCAATATATTTCAAATAAATTCTAGATAAAGTGTCTAAAACCTTACACACTTTGATGACACATATGAACCAACCAGAAACACTTTAATTAGACAGACTCTAAAATCTCCAGTCATGTAGTCATTTTCCCCTGGATGTTCAAAAAAAAAAAAAATGAGAAAAACAAGACATTATGGGACTCTGGGTGATCTGCTACCAACCTAGTCAACAGTTTACCATTTTTAAGGGGGGCTACTTTGTTAATATGACTCTTACAATTATTATTACTGGTTATGTCTTTGCTTTACACTATTTTCTTGTACTAATTATTAGAAAATGTAAGAATTTAGATTTTTATAACGTAACAAAATCACATGACTGTAGGTAGAATATTGTGCATGTAAGTGACAATAATCCAAAAATTAGTCATGGAGAAGAGAGCAGGGATCTGTTTGACGTGCTGAATCCGAGGAGGAAACCTAAAACGTTGCTGCAGTTATCGATGTTTATTGTAACTTTTTTCTGTGAAGCATTGCACAATAGATAGACTTGCAGACTTAACTAGCTTTAAACTTGCGATCAACAGAAATATTGGCACCCTGCCTTAGCCTGTCTATGTATCGAACAAACAAACAGCCCCTGAGCAGATCCAGGTGATATTCATTAGACAATCATTCAGCTCTAGACACATGCCAACACCCACTTACAGCTCCACCCACACATGCCCATACATACCTCTAACACATGCACCCTGCCCTTTGAGACAAGACAAAAATTGCATACTTGCCTCTACAGTGCATATGCTTAGTGAGTAAACAAGGAAGTAAGCAGAGGTGTGAAAAGAAAGAGGAAAAGTCCAAGTTTAAGTGTGGGAAAAAAATGCATAGATACCAATAGGGATAAAACATGATTAGCTCCCAAGATACAAAATTAATGTTGGTTTTCATTGGAGTGCAAGTTAAGGCCTCAGAGGTTGGCGGGTTAAAGGGTGCCTAAGTAAGCACTGCCAGCAGATAACAAAATCACTCAACAATCCTTGCAACATGCTGATCGTGCAAGGTGCAGAAAATCCATTTTCAGCCTTATAAAGGAGTAAGCAAACACTACCAGGATGAACACCGCCTTATATAAGCTGGAGTAAAATAAAACAAACAATTTCCTTACCTTTACAGACAGCTTTAAACATATTAGAGGTCCAGTTCCCAGAGCTCAAGCATGCCGCCTTCCTGTTTCCCTGGAGACTGTAACCTTGGCGACAGGTGAGATGACAAATGAAGCCTGGTGACACAGCTTTTCTCCTGCAGGCAGGGGGCGACAACAAGATGTCGTTCTTTGGATTCAGGATGGGGGGGCATCGAACCTCTGGGAAGGTAAAATAGGAAAAAGACACATTATTCCAATGCATGACAGAGCTTTGGTTGAATGAAAGATTTTATGCATGAAAAACAACTTTATCGGTACCAGTGTTACTTCAGAGGGCAATACATAAGGCAACAATATTGCAATACCAAAAAAGAGAATTAAAAATAATCCAGTGGACTCTGTTTCCAAGTTTGAATACGTTTCACTTCCCATCCAGGAAGCTTTTTCAATTCAAAATGTCAGGAATAGTGTTGAGTTTGAGGTTTAATACAGTAGCCCATCAAAATCTTGTTAAACCTTTTTAATTTTCTTTTTTTGGAATGACTATGACCTGGATGACTGAGAATCTTCTTCAGCAATATTGCAATAAAAATATTTGGAGGATCTCAATGTTTCCTGAGTTTCCAGATATGAGGCATGGAGATGCTGGACAACCAATGGATTACCCTACTGGAGTAGTGCTTATATCATGTGCAACCATCAATCACTTGCTCTGTGGTCCAGTTCTGACTAGAATGGCCCTCGTTGGTTCCTTTTTAGCCGTGAACAGAGATCAGAATTGTCACCCTGACATTTCTCTACCTGTGAAGCCCATTGCACAAAAGGACTACACTATGTAATTTGAAACATTTCTATCAGAGCAGGCATTAATGGTTTTAGCCATCAGAGCCAAATTTGAATTTGGGCAATCCTTCCCTGCCAACATTTCTTTCGAAAACTCTTCATTGATACTAACCTCTGCAGACCCTGAACATCCCATAAGAGTCATTTAGGCAGCTCAGTTTGGCTCATGTCAAACTTTCTACAAAGCTGGCTATTTCCCTGCTTCTAATAAATTTTTTGATACCATGTGAACCCCTCTCAGTCAAAAGTATTGGTGATCGTCTAAAAGTAGAATGTAAAATAACTGATTATAAAAGTAAAAGTGCTACTAAATTTTTTAACCTGAGCATTTAATTATAAGGCATATTACGCTTACCATCTCAGATAAAACAAAATAAAATCATATATTAGGCCTGTATTTAGGGCTGCCCACTGGGGCAGTGGGTAGCACTGCTGCCTTGCAGGAAGAAGGTTCTGGGTTCAAATCCTGGCCAGGTCTTTCTGTATGAAGTTTGCATGTTCTCCCTGAGCATGTGTGGGTTCTCTCCGGGTACTCTGGCTTCCTCCCACAGTCCAAAAACATGACTGTTGGCTAATTGGCTTCTCTAAATTCTTCTTAGGTGTGAGTGTGTGCATGAATGGTTGTCTGTCCCTGCGATGGGTGTACCCCGCCTCTTGCCCATAGACAGCTGGAGATAGGCACTAGCACCCCTCGTGACCCCGCTAGGGATAAAGCGTGTCAGAGAATGGCCTGTATTTATAAAACTGAAGCTCCTCTGAGTAATTCCTTTATAATCACATTTAAACTTGATGAATTGGGAACAAACTGCAGAACAAAAATTATAGTCAGAGTGACTTAATTAGTTTTAGTTTGTTTATATAAAGACACCTGAGCTGCTTTGATCAGCTCCAATAGCTCAATGTGAAAAACAGCTGATCCCAGACTTTTCTCTACATGCACTCTGTTCCTCTGCCTCGTTTTGGTGAAGTTAAACATATAAGAGAAACTTGATAAAAGCTTGTTTAATTTTCCAATTTGGTCCTCACAAAGCATTTAACTACCTAAGAAATAAAATATTGTCATTTACCTCTTGCAATGCATTTGCTAACCACTAGGGGTACGCGTACCCCCAGCTGGGAATCACTAACTTAAAGGTTGAAATGTTGCTAAATGCTTCCCACCCACTAGATGATAATATGGAGCAGAGATTATCGCTGCTTTTCACTTCATCTGTCAGTGGTTATATGGCTTTGTCTGATCAGATCTCTTTTGCACAGAAGAAAACCTTGGGATCCTCAAGAAAACTCCTCAGGGTTTCTTAAGGAGAGGAATGTCTGTTATTTTCCTAGACCTCTGTGACAATAGCTCAGGTCTCTGTGGCTTTTATATGATAACTGGGTCAACTTTCTCTTCTGTACTTGACTCTCTCTATGGTAAATTCAGAAAGTTCAAATTCGAACAGACTAAAATAACTCATTTTCCTCCAGTGCCAGATGAGTAGTTTCTCTTTCACCACTGCGCAAACAAACAGTAAAACAATCCAGCCAGCTGCATCAGGAGCCCACAGAGGCTCCTCGGCTGTGTTAAAAAAGTGATGACAGTTTGTTGGGCTGGATGATCGAATAAACAAGCTCCATCTCAGTCAGTACAAAGCAGCAGAGATGGAACGTATTGATAAGCGGATGCAGTTGGCTTGGGTGTTTTTTTTTAAATAGCTCACCGAGCTGGTTGGCTGGCAGTGCGTCAGTGTGAGCCTGAGCGGTGACTATGGTGGTTTGCGGCTAAAAACTCTCACACTGTCCCTTTTTTTGTGTGTTCTTGTGCCTGACCCCTGTGTTCCTTGTGGTGGGTACGAGTGTGTGCAACTATTTTAACTTAACTATCAGTTTCAGAGTGTGTGTGCAATTTCAAATACGCATGAGGTTGGTGGGAGAGAGCAGATGTATCTTCCAGCAAATAGGGGTCCAAATATACACTATGTGTTTAGCCACCGTACACGTGTGTTTACATATGTGTGTAAAACCACATGATTACGGCAGAAACATACAGATCATATGTTATTTCAGGCTCATTCGTCTGATATATTCTCTTTGAGCTTTGTGAGGCAGGCAAGTTTCACTGAGCTGTGGAAAAATAAAAGCTTAATGAGCTTATGTTTATATGTCAGGTTACAACAACAATGGGCCAAAAGTGTACGACAGCAAATAACTTAATAAATAAGTGATCAATATTACTTTAAAATAGATTAGAATAATGTTCTATTGTAAAATCAGAGAAAAACCTTTTGGCTTAAACTACTGGCCTTCACTCACATGTAAGAAATATAGGGACATAAAAGTAGAGGGGGACAGATGGAGCTAAGATACTGAGGTGGGGGTCAAACCTAGGATGGGTACACCCAGTTTTAATTGCCTATGTACAGAAAATGCTACAACCCCAAAGGTTTCAGATTTTTTCCAGAGATATATAGATAATTGTTCTGTTTTTTGTGTAACTTTCAATCTAAAACCTAACATTTACTAAAGTGTAAAGAAAAAGAAGGGGAGTGGGAGGTAATTTAGAGTAAATTCATATTAAATTAATGCTAGAAAAAAAAACCCAATATACAGACCTTTACTACCCTTCAAGCAGAGTGCATCTTTTCTTTGGCCCTGTACAAACCTGGCATTGTAAGGATCCTTGTTGACAGAAATATAATTAGACAACCTGAAGAAGACTCTTCACAGCTTGCTCTAAAATCATCCTGCAGACAACTGCACTATATTATAACCCAACTATTAAAGGTATAGTGGAGGATTTTCACAAATTCTTGAAAAGATTAGCCCTCTCACACGCAAAAATGCACATGCACAGCCCTGTACCCGCTCACGTGAAGGAACACCTATCAAATGCGTGCGAGAGCCCATTTTCTCCTCGTGCATGCCCTGTTTAAAAGTTGCTGTTTGCATCGCTCATACAAGCTTACTTTCCAAAAGAAGATTTGCATTTTTTCCACTATGTCAGACTGACCACCAGTAAGTGAAAATAGGGACGAGCATTTTGGATGGCCTTATGTACATATACTACCAGAATGATTGACAATTAAGAGGACCACTTATTTTGATGATCCACCCAGAAAAAGAACATCCTCCACTATACCTTTAACCACTAACGACACCTGAGTTCTACTTTTGTGGAGTTATTTTGGAAACAAAACTCCTTATCAACTAATTTGGGTAACTAAAAAAAAAAAGTAGTAATTCATACATGAAAAATACATAAATAAAATTGGACATTTTAGAGCTTAATGTCAGTAAAGCATCTAAATATCTGATGGTAACAGCTCTTTACTTTCTATAAACAGGAATCCTTGCATGTTCAACATTTTTTACACTACAGGGGGATTTTCTGCTCTGCATGAATGTATTTAAAAATGAAATAAAATAACCAAAACAGCCCCCTACGGAAATAAATATCAAGCTACAGAGAAAATATTGCATCAAACAAGGAATCGACTGGTCGATATGATCCTGTGTTCCTGAATATTTTATTGATGGAGAGAATTCCAACATCAAGTTTCCTAGTTTCCTAGCAGTCTCCTAGCAACTTTAACAAACTATTTTTTTTTTTTTTTTGTCTGTTCTTTGTACTGGGAGCCATCCAGGTAATAGCTGTTCTGTTAGAGAGGAGTGACATCACGTCAGTGGGTGGTCTTTTAGTGGGTCTCAGTATGGATCCCGTTCAGACTGCTACGCTGATAAAAAAAAACGTCCCAGACCACCTTCACAGTTTGCCCCTGAGGGAAACTGTTCTCGACACATTTTAGTACATTTACACCTCTGCATGGATGTCAGTGATACTTTAGTTTTGGATTGGACCTTTTAGAGGTTATAGCCTCCTTTTGACTGACAAAGCTAACAATGCTGATTTTAGTTCTTTTATTCAGGACTAAATGCGTAAAATGAAAAGCTCTACCCCAATAGAGTAAAGTTTCACTAAAGTTCTACATTTTATATCTCTATAAATTCACATTTAACCTTTTTCGAAGAGGATAATATTGCTCACATCATAAGATATATATGTTAAAGGTGTTAATAATGTACAATTCGACGCCATAAGAGCTGATTTATTTCTGAGAGGTGATAGTGAATAGTAAGGTGAAGGCTTACCCACACACCGAGGTAGAGGTCCACTCCACTGGGAGTTGGCCTGGCAGGTGAGTGTGGAGTCTCCCTCTAATCTGTAGCTTCGTTCACAGCTGACCTCACACTGTGTCCTGTAGGACACCCCGCCGTCACTGCACCGCAGGGAGCCATGCTGGGGCCGGGTGAGGGGCGGGCAGGAGCGCACTAAAAGAGTCAGAAGAAAATAAACATGAGGATCCAAACCAGGAAAAGTGAAACAAAAGCTGCTTTATTTAACCGGATTTATTGTTCAACCATTATTTATTTATTACTGAAGGCAGGAAACCTTCACTCTGTAATATAATGACGAGCACAGGAAATATACTGTTATCTTTCACAACTCACTGATAAAATCTCATGATAAAACCCACATGTAAGCTTCTCCAAGGCAACCTAAGTTTATTCCTTAAACAGAGCTTAATTTGCCACCAATGAAAGTGAAATGTAACAGATAAACCCAGATGCTGTAACTCATAACTCACAAGGGGAGTGGAATACGTCAATGAATCCTTTTGGGTTATAACTTGCAGCCTGTCTTTTAACCAACACTGTGAAAGTCCCCATAAAATAAAGGGGAAAAACGCCTAGTGTGTGTGTCTGCTCTGAGTTACGCTGAGGTCTGCTACAGGGTGTGCGGTGGGCTATTCCTCATCGCCACCCATAGACAAAAAGGCAGATCAGATGAGACCCCTCTCACCCTCAGGGCCTAACTAGCATGGAGGTCCTACAGTATGTGGCAAATAGGAGACGGACGCATACAAGCAGACATATGCACACACACTTAGAAAATATATGCGCAAAGCCACATACTATAAATCTTCCCCACACACCCTTACATATTCAGTGTCTCGGTATTTGTATGAGTCACCCTGCTGCTGCCTTTCTGCTAAAACGTGCATTTTCCTCATTAATCTCTTGACCTTTGGAGCTCCCCACTTTTTCCCCCTTCAGCTTACTGAAACTCCCCTGCTTTGCTCCTGCTTGTTTGAACTTTTACTTTTGCTCACTCCACCGTGAACTCTGTCTCTGTTTAATTGAATCCTCCCTACTTCTCTTCCTCCCGCCATCTGGCAGAGGAAAAGGTGGGATCCCCAGGAAATGTTAAAACATCCCAATGTCTAATAAAATAGGAGTATTAAAGTCAGAGCTGCATGCATAGAAAATACTGCAATGCTTTAACATATTTAGACAACTACACAGGATATGCATTAAGGGAAGAGTCTCCAATTGGCACCACTCTCCTGCCACTGTCCTGCATCCCTTCTCTGAAAAGGCTCAAATCAGATGGTTAAATTACCCCTTCCATTAAGTGTGGAAAAAGCCTGCTAATGATAGAGTTGGAGCACAGATGCATCTAGAAGCTGGAGTTGGAGAACCCTGCAATAATGTCAACTGAGGTCTGTGAGACAAAACTACTGAACTGGTGATCATTGCAGGCTTCTCTCATTCATCCATTATCTATATTTGCTTAACTTCTAGGAGCTGTTAAGGACTCACACTGACACACATGGGATTCACACCTAAGGGTTTCTTAAAGTTAGCAATAAACCTAATATGTATGTCATTGAACAGCGGGAGAAAAATGGAGCATCTGTGCAAAAGCTAAACCGCTGTTTAGCCAAAGGGATAGCATGTCTGATAGCAGGTTGATTTTATTTTACTTCTACTCCTTACATTATTTTGCAATTATCTCTACTTTATACTCCTTAAAAAAAACAAAAAAAAAGAAAATCTTTTTAATTTCTTTTAAGATCATATCCGTTATTGTCTGTTGGTGTAAAAAAAAAAACAACATCCAGACTCGTTGGACTCGGGACTGCACCAACTTCTTGTTCACTACATACAGTACCAAAATAGTTTTATGTCAATATGATGCAAAATAAAATTTTACACTGTGACCATTAGTTATAAAACTAAGAAAATTAACTATAACAAAGTTATCATCCAGAAATGAAGAAAAATGGTCCTTTAATAAGTTTAATAGTTCAAAGCATCTGTCCTTGACATTTTTCTCCTGCGTTACTATAACTTTTTACTTTAGGTAGTTTTAAAAATAGTACTTTTACACTTTTACTTGAGAAAAAAAAAAGCTTAAGTTGAAACTATTTCTACAAAAGTGTTTTTAAACAGTAGGATTTATACTTCTACTTGGGTAATAATATTAATACTTTTGACACCTCTGCTGGTAAGCAGTGTTTGAAAATCAAAGAGCTATATCTTCCAACACTACTACAAAGGGAACTTGTCTTAGCTTTCAAAAAGAGAGAACATGTGCAATTAAATAAATATATACAATATAATTACTTTATCCTGATGTAAAAGAACAAAACTAGAGTTCTGTTTTTAGGTTTAAACACCCAAAACAACCAAACAAACTATTAAACCTTTACAAGAAAAAACAAACATTTTATTGGCTAGAATTGAGCCAGGAAAGTTCTTTACACTTTAATAAAATTAAGCTAACTTTAAACAACAAAGCACAGTCAAATCATCAATAACCAGACTAAAAGAAAAACATACCATGAGTCCAATCAGGTTGCACATAATTCAGCCAGTTGGCAGAACTGTTGCCAGAAACATTTTGTGACGCTTTAATAAATCTCCTTTCTTTATCATTTTGTCAGTTACTTTGAAGCTTTTAGATGAAATGTTCTACTATCCCCAAAATGATATAATAATTCTGACAGATCAAGATTTACAAATATTTCCATCCAACCATAACATCATTCACATTAGAAAGTATGCTTTGGTATTTGCATTTTAACAAAAAAAAAAAAAAAGGCATTTTGTAAACTATTCCCACCCTTCTACCCTTATTTAAAATAAACAGAACAGTCATCTCTGACATTACAGTTTTTAAATACAATTTATAGTTCCCTTTTTTATTCAACATTGATCTTTGGTAACAAGCTCCAAGTCGTTGAGACTGGAAGGCCACCTTGCCATCACCCTAATCTTTAGCTCTCTACATAGATTCTCTAGCAGAGTCAGCACAAAACCCTGTCTTGGCTGCTCCAGAAACTTTATTTTTACTGAAAGTCAGAGAAAACATGTCTTTCATGTTCAATGTCTACTTTAAATCTGCTGGATGTATTGATAATTTTAAGGCTAAAATACACAACTTTTTATTGCCTAAAGCAGAAGCTTAAAATACTGAAAACACTGCAAGTCAGTGATGCAGTCTTCTGGGTTTCCTTAGAAAGAAACCTTTTCTGGTGCGATGTAAATAAACCAGATTTAATCAAAGAGGCTGCATCAACTTTTCCACTTCCTGAATAGCACTATGGTCCATTGAATAACCTTTCAGATAGAATGATGGTTCCTACAAGGGCTAAATGTGAAGGCTTTCCTTTTAAAAATGGCACCAATGAGCGTGCAGGTAGCACAGTGATTAGTGCGCATGACCCATGTACGAGGCCCTAGTCCGGTACTCGGTTCGAGTACAACCTGTGGTCCTTTGCCGGATGTCTCTCCCCTTCTCTCATACCCCCTTTCCTGTCAGCCTACTGTTGAAAAAATGAGCCACTAGTGCTGTGAAAAAAAAAAAAAAAAGACACCAAAGATCTGCCCCTTACCTCTGCAGCTAGCAGGTGATCCTGACCAGGTGCCGTCAGCCTGACACAGTCTGATGCCAGTTCCATGGAGCTCGAAACCAGGCTGACAGCGAACTCCACAGGCTGCCTCAAAGTGGTTGTTACAAACATTCTGGACAAAGAAGCCATTTTCTGGAGGACTCAGTGCCGGGCAGTATACCACTAAAAGAAAGAGGGAGAGCAGAGTTAAAACATCAGCCTAATGGGGATGACACAACATAATGAAAAAGTGTGTGCTTAATAAAATTTAAATAATCCACATTTGATTAAAGAGAGTTTGCTTCAAGAAATATAAAAACACTTTACAAATGACTCCAAGTCATTACATCTTATTTACCTTGAGGGAGGAAGGGAAAACAAAGTGGAGTGTCTGAAACTGCTGATAAATAGACCTCGATTTTAGAAGAAAAATCAAGCAGAAAGTCTCGAGCTCATTCTTCCATTGATAAATATTAAGGATGCAGTTTCAAAGATATGGTATGATGAGTGGGAAGCCTTTCTATTCAAGCTTCTATATCAATGTTCTTATGCTTTAATATATTAGTTATACTTGCACAATTTGCACATCTGTGCTGTTGCTACTATTTCTATAAAAAATTCTATTTTATACATTTTCTGTAACTGTACAGTATTTGTACTTGTTTTAACCTTTTTCTGCTGTTTCTATCTATCTATCTATCTATCTATCTATCTATCTATCTATCTATCTATCTATCTATCTATCTA